CGTCGCGGGAGAGGGCAAACCCCTGACTGAACACCAAGAGACCCACTTCATGGAGCGCCATGCTTACCGTGTCAATGAGATCGCGACGAATGAGAGGGGGTCGTAGACGCTTCGCTGGTTTTATAGCCCCTGGGATAGCCGCTGATTGGTGGAGACCAAGATCATACGATCATCACGAGAGCCCAGAACGAGTCCGGATTGGTGGAAAAAGGATCGTATGAGTATCACGAGTGGTATCACGAGACGTAAGAGGAGGGGTTATAAAAGGCCGGGTAGACGCTCCCTTGAAGTCATTCGTCAAGTGGAGAGGATGGATCGTCAAGCCACTCAACCTGCAGCCGTGCCGTCGGGACGCAAACGACGTCGCGTCAGTAAGAAACAAAAACAAGAAGAGGAAGCCCAAGCGCGAGCCCTGCAGATGAAAGCGGATCGTGATCAGGAGATGGCCGAGCTTGGGTTGTCCCGAGCTGAACTCCTAGAGATGAAAGCCAAACAACCCCCGACCAGCGAACTGGTGGTGGCTCTCAACGCGTTGCCTAAAGCCGAGGACCCACTGCCACCCCCTACACCCTCGCCCATCGACGACCTGATAGAGGGCACCCTGAAAGACTACGAGGAAGAATGTGTGGAGGAAGGAACCTCCTCCCTGACCGCGGAAGCCGGGGAAGAGCTAGACCAGATGGAAACCCAGTTCAACCAGCTCCTGTATGAATCGTGCCCCTTTCATCCCCATCAATTTCTCTATTGTGTCAACCCCCAAACCAGTTTTGGTCCCTTGAGGTTCAAGTGTCCCCAAGAAGGGTGTCCCGTGTATTTGTTTGAAGACACGCGAGAGGTGATGATGGAGGCCTTGAAAAAAGACACGCATCCTCAAGTCCATGCCCGTGTGAAACATGGAGAACTCAAGTGCAAGTGTGGGTTTGTCCCCAAGATGAAATTGAGTCGCACCGCCAAGAATCACAACAAAGTGTTTTTCAGTTGTGGGAGCTTTCTCACCCATGCCAAACCCTGTGGCTACTTTCAATGGCTCCATGGTCCCTTGTGGTGTCCCCGAGAGCAAGCGCAACCGATCCTGAGACGATGGGTCAGGGATTGTCCTGTTCCTCTTCTGAAAGGAAAAGACCCCGAGAAGGAGAGACCCTGGGGAATGCACGCTGTAGAGATGCGTTTTGGTGAGAGGCCAGACCCAGTCATAGAAAAGATAAAATATGATCCGTGGATGAAACAGTTTGGCGACTCTGTCCAGGCCCAGGAGCGAGAGTTTGAGAGAAGGCGCCATTTGCATAAAAACTTTGGCAGTTCGTGTTTGTTTTGAACCTGTAGGTGTTTGTGAAAAAAAACTATTAAAGACAGAATTGGACTCGAATCCTGTGTCAGTGTCTTGATGTCGTTGCCACGCGCTTACGAAGATCCCCAAGAACCTGGGGCCTTGGGTGGGGTCCAACCCTTTGCCCGAGCCCATAAATTGAAAACCCCGCAAGCGCAACAGATTCTTCAATCCGTGTTGAGCTATACGCTCCACAAACCCCGACGGACCCGGTTTCCCACCACGCCCACGTTGGTCTTTGGCCGAGACGAACAATGGCAGATGGATTTAGTGGACATGCAAAAACTCAGTCGGTGGAACCAAGGCCACAAATATTTGTTGACGGTGATCGATGTCCTGTCCAAGTATGCCTGGGCCGTGCCCATCAAATCGAAGAGTGCCACCGACATGATCCGAGGATTGGACGCGATACGTCGACGGGCCTCACCGCGACGACCCCTCCGTGTGCAGACGGATCAAGGCCAGGAATTTTTGAATCGAAAAGTCCAAGCCTGGTTCAAGAAACACCACTGGCATCATTTTTACACGTATGGGGATAGTAAGGCCTCGGTGGTGGAACGATGGCATCGCACCTTGAAACAACGCATGTACCGGTATTTCACCGCGCACAATACGTTACGGTACGTGGATGTGTTACAACCCTTGATTCATACCTACAATCACGCCTTTCATCGCAGTATTGGGTTAGCGCCGCATCAAGTCACCTTTAGAAACGAGTCCGAGGTTTGGGATCGACTCTATGGAGCACGGTTGAAGCCCAAGATCCCCCCACCCAAATGTCAAGTGGGGGATCGGGTACGTCTCAACAAGAAACATCGTCCTTTCAAAAAAGGGTATTTGCCGGGCTGGACGGAAGAAGTGTTTGTGGTCACGCATGTGCGTCGTCATCCTGTGGTCACCTATCAGCTCAGTGAATGGGACGGCACCCCTATAAAAGGCACGTTTTACGAACCCGATGTCCAAAAAGTCCAAGTGTCAGACGACTCGTTGTTTCGAATCGAAAAAGTCTTGAAACGCAAAGGACGTCAGGTCTTGGTTCGGTGGAAAGGGTGGCCGGCCAAGTACGATAGTTGGATTCCCGCGCAACATGGTCCGCGTCAAACTAACGCCTCGAAAAAGAAAAAAACAGGTGCGGTTTCTCGATGATGCCAGTGATACCCCTACCACGGACGCGGACATTATGAACTTCATCCAGAAAAAAGCCGCTGAACAACGGCAAACCCAACCGTGGTGGGAAAAGTTGGCCAGTCCCACCAAACAGCAATGGGCCTACGCCAATGCCTACCATCGAGCGGAGGAGTATGCCAAGCAACGAGGGGCTCTACGGTCCCCACCCAAGAAAAAACAACAACAACGCCGACGCGCCGGTCGTCATCCACCCATGCGCAAGAAGAAACCCCCTAAACCCAAGACCTGCATGACCCTGATGGAACTGGCCCGGGCTTTTCCCAACATTGCCCAGCAAGTCTGTTTTCATCCCAAACAATCGACCTTCAATTCAGTGGTGGGACGCGTCCCTCGCAGTAAACAGAAAGTGGCGACGTGGCTATAAAAAGGACCCTGCACCCTCGGGGACGTGCCTCTTCTTTTTCATGATGAGTGAGATTAAACGCTTGACGCTCATCAGCGATCCAACCGACGAGTTTCCCAACAATGCCAACAACAGTTTCAAGGTCCGTCTGCCCGAACGCCTGAGCTTACCGGGCGAAGGCTGGCATGCCTCGTTGATGTCCCTGACCGTGCCGGATCAAGGCCAAAGCAATGCCATCATCGCCGCGGATCCACATACCAAAGTGGTGCGATACACCTATCCGCAAATGGTGCGTTTGTGGACAGACACGGGCGACCCATCCACGTCAGGGTATTTGAGCGTGAATTCCCCCAAAGTGACCGGCATGATCGAATTGGAAGATGTCATGAATCCAACTCAAATTGTGTCGACAGGGAGTCAATTTTGGCAACGCGTGATGCAAACCATGCACAACTACATCATGTACACGGTGATGAAAGATCAATGGAGCGAACTGGTCAAGAATCGCGACCGAAAACCCATTGTGTTTGTCAAAAAACACGGTATGCCTCGACTGAGGTGGACAGGGGAGAGTCTGGTGATTGATGCCATTCCCAAAGAGGAATTGTTGAACAGCAACCAAATCAACATGGTGGAATTTTACATCAACGTGGACATTGCATTCAAGTTTGGCTTGTTGCGCCTCAAGACGGGCAAGACTGGAAGCAACCAGAGCGATTATCTGCTGGGTCCGAATATGCAATATTCTCTACCCGTCAAGACCTATGATGAGACCACAGGTCCCGTCGGGAGTCGATATCGAACCTATTACAATTGGGAAGGGGAGGTGTACGAGGGCGTCAATTCTACCAGCCGAGCCTTTTTCATCGTGACCGCCGACAATGTCAAGTGGATGAGATTGCACCAGGCGTTTGAATGGCGGTTGAACAACCTGGATGCCTCGTTTGAAAAGATCGTGGGGACTCGCCGACGGACCGTCATGGTCTATTCGGATCTGGTCGAATCCACCGTGGTGGGCAGTGGCAAGTTTCCCCTGTTACGGGAAGTGCAATTGTTAAGAACCGGCGATGGGGAAAGTACGGCCGAACCCTTGCACCACCAATGGATCAAACTCCGAGGAAATCAATTGGATATCTTGGAAGTGGAGATTGCCAGTACCGCTGGACCCCTGGCCCCCTTACCCCCGGGCAAAACCCTGGTGACCATTGGTCTCAAACGGCTATAAAAAGCCACCCCCAACATCACGTGGGTCCAAAAAACACCTCGACGTGAACCATGCGCGGAGGCAGTTTAACGCGGTACCATACGCCCGTGCTCACCCAGCAAAAAGGCAAAGGCTTGGCCGAAGACTTGATCAAACTGGCGGGACCCCTGATCGTGCAGCAAGCTCAAGCGGGACTGCAAGATATTCAGCGAGGCAAGAGTGCCGCGGACACCTGGGCCGATCGAAGTGCCCAACTCAGCCGCGGCTTGAAACGCAAAGCCCCTGCCATGGCTTGGACAACTGGCAAACACAAGGTTAAACGGACCGCCCAAAATACCTATAAAAGAGCCACGCAACGCGTACGGGACATCTTTGGACTGTGAAAAATGGTACGTGTAGGAGGCTTTCTCAAAACGCAAAATCGCATTCGACGGCAACGTGCCCGTGGACGGTTCATTTCGCCGTATCAAGTAGGGGGCACGATCTTTGGCAAGTCGACCATGGCGCGCTATCCCCTGATGAATACGACGCATCGGATCAACCCCGAACCCTGGAGGGTGAAGCAGGCCCTGCGCCGCATGAAAGGGGGTACGATTTTTGGCAAGTTCACCCGCAGGCGCAATAATCCTTTGGGGTTCCCCACGGCGACAGATCGGATCAACCCTGCACCCTGGAGGGTGAAGCAAGCCCTGCGCCGCATGAAAGGGGGCACGATCTTTGGACCAGGGGATCTCCGAAAAGTGTTGTGGGCCAACCAAGCCAAAGCCAGGAAACAGAAGAAGCAGAAAGGGGGCAATGTCTTCAGCAAGTTGAAAAAACGCATCCAAATCGATTTTCCTCACCGCCCCTTTCCCTCCGCGTTTCCCATCCATGATTGGCACAGACTACAAAAGGGTATAAAAAGAGGACGCCGTTGAACAACGTGGACAGAACGCATCATGTCGCTCAGTCTGTTTGACGTGCCCGATGTGGATTATCGGTACGAAGCCTCGCGGGAGGTGGAGTTTCAACCCGCCTTGACGGGCATCCAACCCATCACCTTCTCCATTCCAGGCTCCGACGATTATTATGACACCAATTCTCTCCGCTTCAAAGTCAAAGTACGCCTGACGGATCCCGCTGCTGGGTATACAGGACTGGATGCTGGTCTGCTCATTTCCAATGCCAATGAAACAAGACACGTTTACTGCGTCAACAATTTTGGGCATTCCATCTTTCGAGATATTACCATGAGCATGAATGGCGTCCTCATGACAGAACAGAGCAACACCTATCATTACAGAGCCTACCTAGAAACCATGCTGAATTACAACCGAGAAGAAGGAGCCACCAAACTAGCCCCGCAAGGATGGGTCAATCAGCTGAATGTGGCTGAAGAAATAGGAGCCACCGCCGCCAATTCTGATGTCCCTGTTCAGGCGGCATGGGGTGGGAATGCAGAATTGCGAGCCCTGACTAGCCGATTGCTAGAAGAACATTGGCACACCTTCATCATTCGTCCCCATTTGCCACCCCTCAAGACAGGCAAATTATTGGTCCCCAATGTCCAGATGGACTTTGAACTCTTCCTGAACCCCAAGACCATCTACTTGATGGGCAGCCCTAACAAAGGCACCTTAAACGTCAAGAAAATTCCAGCCATCCACAATGATGACATCAAAGTCACCTTGCTGATGAGAAAAGTGACCCTGAATGCCAGCGTGTATGTCAGACTGCAGAAAGAAAGACAGCTGGGCAAACAGATTGCCCGCTACCCTGTCGTACGAAGCGAAATTCGCACGTTTTCCTTTGATGGACGCACCACCCAGTGGGAACAAGACAATGTGTTTGTGGGTCGATTTCCTGATCGAGTGATTGTTGGGCTATTGCATTCGGATGCCTTCAACGGAAACCTAGAAAAATACCCCTTTGCCTTTGAAAAGTTTGGTGTCACCCAAGTACGACAGACCTTGAATGGAGAAGAATACCCTTACAGAACCCTGCAACTGACTGGAGACCAAGCCTATGAAGATCTGCTGGGCTACGATCGATTTCTGCAAGCCATGGGTGCCTACAATGAAGATAAGATCCCTATGCTGCTGCCTGGTGATTGGGGACAAGGCAAGAACTGCACGTTGTTCATGTTCAACAATGTGCCCAGTGGAAAAGCAGATGACCCCCAGTACCGCAACCCCCGTCAATCGGGCAATACGCGACTGGTGATTGATTTTGCTGCAGCTGTCGGTCATAACGTCACCATATTGGTATGGAGCGAGTATGAAAACATGTACGAGATCAATCATCTGGGAGGTATAAAATACAACATCAACGGATGAGATGGCCTCAGAAGTCAAAAGACATCAGTCATGGAGTTTGTGGCGCTCAGTGATACTGTGTTGCGGACCCTGGCCCTGGAGGATCCCGAATTACGACGCGTGTTTCATGGGGTGCACCCCGCGGACCAACTCCCCCGATCCCCCACCAAGAGTGTCCGTCAAGCCTACATTGTCAACACCGATCCAGCGGGAGAACCGGGACAGCATTGGTTGGGTCTATGGACGGAAAAGAACCAGTGCGAGATCTTTGACAGTTATGGACTACCCCTGCATGTGTACACCAACCCAGAGTTGCACCAATGGTGGGGGCAATGGAAGTACCTGACGCGCAGTGACCAGACCCTGCAAGCCCTGGATAGTCAAACCTGTGGCCATTATGCGTTATTTTTCTTGAAAGCCCGGGCGCAAGGACGATCGTATCAAGAATTTTTAAGTCAATGGAGTTGCGACAATTTAGTGTTGAATGATCAAAAAGTGGCCGAGCAATTGAAACGGGTGATCAAACGGGAATTACAAGATGAAGTCGATGCCCGACCTGAAGGGGGGCAAAAGAATGTGAGCCGTCAGGCCTTTATCACTTGTAATCATTGTGAGTGTTGAAAATAAAAACCCATAAAAACGAGAGGTGTAGTCCAAGAGTGGTCATTGTAGTTCATCATGATTACGCGAGCCGATGTCCAGCGTGTGGTCGATGCGTTCATTCTCGAAGAAACCTTGTATTGGTGGGAACACCCCATCGAAAAGGTCAATACGGTGCGTGGCATCGATGCCTGGGATGGGTATCATTGGCTCATGGCCCGACAATTGGCACAAGACCAAGATTGGGTCTCTCTCAAACAGTACATGGACAGCATGAGCGAAACGTATTTAAGAGAAACCATGGAAGGACTGATCCAGTCCGAATCGCCTCGCTTATACCGCGAGTATTGGACGGCATGCCCAGACGACGACGACGACGACAGCGCACCCGACGACCCCGCTTTCGCCAAAACGGACGAGGCATCATGAGCGTGTTGGCCAAAGCCTATAAAATCGGGGATCAATTGGGACGGGACAAACGGTATAAACGCATGGGCGCTAAAGGGGCCACCGGTCATTATCGACGTCACCCTCGACCGTGGGAATCATGATCCGACAACCTAGCAGTGTGATCATCGCAGGCCCGTCGGGCAGTGGCAAAAGTGACTTGGTGGAACAATGGTTACGGTACCTGAACGTGTTTCAAGTCAAACCCCGCAAGATTGTGTATGCCTATGATCGCTGGCAACCCAGATTCGAGCGTATGCAAAAAAAAGAGGGGATTCAGTTTCATCGCGGGTTACCGGACCCCCGTCATTTGACGCAATGGTTTGGTCGGACGCGCGGCGGGGTGTTGGTCTTGGACGACCTGATGGAAGAAGGGGGACAAGACAAGCGCGTGTTGGATTTGTTCACCAAAGATTCGCATCATCGCAACATCACGGTGCTGTATTTGACGCAAGATTTATTCCCGCCGGGCAAATTTTCCAAGACCATCAATCGCAACGCGCATTACATTGTGGCCTTCAAAAACCCCCGGGATCAAACAGGGATACGGACGATTTTATTGCAAGCCTTTCCGGATCGATGGCGTCAAGTCTTGCGCCTATTTAAACGCATCACGGCCCGTCCCTTTGGCTATTTGATGTTGGATGTACATCCAGCGTCGGATGATCGCTACCGCCTGTGGAGTCATTTAACGCCTCGAGAAGGCAAGGCGCAAGTCCACACCTTGCGTGCGGATGTCCCTGCCGTTCGACAATCAACTGCAACGAGAACTCGCCAGGGTCCGCCGGCAAAGAGAAGGCGGACAACATACTGAGTTAGCCGCTCGCATGGACACACACTCGCCCGCCGGGGTGGGCTCCCCTTCGGTCCTCCGGGATCTCAGCAGCATGACGGACATGGTGACCGAATTGTCTCGACCGGTGGATCGTGCCCAATTGGAGCAAGACATTGACGATTTCAATTTGACCTACCCGGTCAATGTGGACGATGCCTTGAATGCGTTTACGTTACCCCCCGTGGCGGGCACTGGCACTGCCCCCGCCACCACCACTACCACCACCACGGCCGCCCCCACCCGTCCCACCACGTCCACTCGAACACGCCCCACCACGACTACTACCACCACCACCAGTCGACCACGACCCGTCACCTCCACCCGAACACGCCCCGCCACCACCGCCACGACCACCACCGCTCCCGCACGCCCCTCCACCAGCCGCCGCAGCGCCGGGGCAGGGACCAGGACTACCACCTCCACGGTGACCACCCCCACTGGACGTCCCACCATCGCCGCCAAACAACCGCGACGGCGCCCCAGGGTGCCCTCCCCACCGTCCCCTGGTTCGTCCCCTCCGTCCGATGACGAGGATGGCGATGATGATGATGAACGACGGCGAGGATTAAGGCGACGGTTGGATTTGCTCAATGAAGATGCTCAAGAACGGGCACGAGGTCGACGCATCCGTAACATCACGCACACCAATACTGTGACTACCGTGTATGAAGAGGGGGGTCGTCCCTCGGTGCGCCGCACGTCCACCCGAACCTCCAGCCCAAGTCCACCCAGACCATCACGCCGAGGACGGGGCCGTGGCCGTGGCCGAGCACGCGGACGGGGCCGAGCCCGTGGACGAGGAGGCAGTTCTTCATAAAAGGTATAAAAACCGTGACTTTTCTTCCATCGTCCCAAAAAATGCGATGGGTCCTCGACGCAAACGCCAACGCAGGACGACACGACGGCGACCCGCCAAACGACGACGACGTGTGAGTCAAGTAGGGGGTGTCGCGGCCAGTCTGCCTATGGGCATTCTCAAAGCCGGCTATGGGATCACCAAAGCCATCGGGGATCATCAAACCAAGCGGGCCATCGCCATTGGCGAAAAACGTCGACGCGAAGTGGCTTCAGGCAAACGGAAAAAATATGCGGGGGAATCGTTTAATTGTTCCATCATGTGAAAATGTATAAAAGACTAAAGGTGTGTCCTCCATCGGACAGATCATCATGCACTGTGGTCCACGACGACGAAAACGACGCCGAAAACAACAAGGGGGTATTCTCCCACTTCTCATCCCCGCGGCGGTGGCTGCCGCTGTCCTCATGAAAAAGAAGAAAAAAAAGAAAGTGGGCAAGATCAGTGCAGCGCAAATGGCCGCCAATCAACGACGGGTCCAGCGGATGTTGACTCGAATACCGGGTTGGGGCGGGTTTGAAACGCTGAAAAGGCTATAAAAGAAAACACTAAAAAAGCTATAAAAGAAACGCTCGGTGGGACACACGATTCCCATTAAGGATGGTCCGTGGACCCAACGGTCGCCGACATCGTTATGTCCCTCGAAAACGACGCCGACGACGTGGTTTGCAACGCGGCGCTAAGCTCCCGCTTTTGGCAATGGCTCTCTCGCCTTTGTGGCTCAGGAAATACAAACCCAGAATTCGTGTTCGACGCCCAGACTAACCCTCAACGAAAAGCCGTCACGTTCGCGTTGGATTGGGACGACCAGTATGAAGCGGCTTTGTGTGCACGGTGTCGACATCACATGCAACGGCATTATCATGGCGAATTGTGTGGTCGGTGTGGCGCCATTTTTACCATAAATAGACCTTGGTCCTTGCCTGAACTCAAGATTCATCATGGGGTGGCGCATGGAACGTCAAGCCCCGTTCTTAAAAAGTGTCTTACAAGAAGCCAATCAACACAAACGCCAAGAATTGTTGCGGATGGCCAATGCGGATCAGATCAATGCTGTCAGTGAGTTGGTGATGAACACGCTGCGTGGCACGGTGCCCCGTTCCCGACAGACCATCACACTGCTTAAACCTCACGCCCAGAGTTTACGCGCTATGGCCAAACCCGCCCATTCTGTCAAACGACGACGCGCCATCATGATGGCTCAAAAAGGGGGTGCCCTCTGGCCGGAACTCTACCGATGTTATAAACGTTGCATGCGCTAGACCAGACTCCTCAGTTGCACCATGGAACCCGAGATGGTGAGCACCACGGTGAACAACGCCCCGGCTTTTTTACAATTACGTGACCAGTACAAACAAGAATTGGTGGAAGATACCCGCTTGACCAAAGCCGCCGATTTAGCGGCCAAACAACATATCCTCTTGACCAGCGAGGCCCCCGATGCTTGGAAACGGCCTCAACTCAAAGCCGTGAGTCGTCAATTACGCCATTGGACCAAAAAAGTGCGCCAACCGTTTGGAGCCGCCGCGGGAGGTGTGACTGCCGCAGGAGCCACGACGCCGGGCGACGATGATTTTGAGGCGGGCCCCATGCAAGCCTGGTTCACGCAATTGGTCAAGGCCACCCAGGGTATAAAACAAGGCACCCCGACTGGTGGACCCAGAAAACCCCCTGTCCCGCCTAAACCAAGGTTCACGCCCAGTGCCAAAAAGAAACTCAAGTTCACGACCCCGTTGAGCAGTGAAGAATTGGCGGAAGAGTTGCCCTTTTCAGAGGAGCCTGGAACAGCCCCGTGGGATACCCCTAAAGAACGTGCAGACACCATTACGCAATCATTCAAGCGCGGGATTCGCAAAAGAGCCGCGGACAGTGCCAAAAAGAAAGCCGCAGGTGTCGCCAAAAAGAAAGCCGCTGGTTGGGCCAAGAAAGCTTTGGATTGGAAATCGTGGAAAACCCCCTAATATGGGACGGAAACGTTGTGCTCCACCCCGTTCCCGAGCGAGACGACGACGACGCTCGCAACGGGGCGGCAAGTTATTTGATGTACAAAACCTCCTTAACAAGACCGGTATTGAATTCCATTGGCCCGGCTATCAGTACATGGGCCCTGGCACCCATTTAAAGAAACGATTGGCCCGTGGGGATCCCGGCATCAACCGGTTGGACAGGATTGCTAAAGCCCATGACATTGACTATGATAAAGCCAAGACGTTGAAAGACAAATGGGTGGCAGATCGCAAGATGATTGCCAAGATTGATCAACTCCCTGGCAGTAAAAACTTG